TGCAGTACAGGTGTCTGCCTGCCAAGCTCGTCTCACGCTACCCAGCCACATCTTTGAAGCTCTCAGGATTCTTTCCGATGTCCGTCGCCGACGACATGGTGTTGGATCGTTTCAGGGCGATGACTGCGTGCGCTGCGCCGCCCCAGTTGGTGGCAGCTGCAGCTGCAGTTTGGCGACTGCCTGGTTTATCCGTTGTCTTGATAATGACTGAGTCCTGCTGGCTAGCTAACTTTTGGCACTGTTACTGTCGCTGACCTTGTGGTGTACTGACTTATAGCTACTGCATACGGGAACAGCTCGTTCCTTACCGTTACCTAGAACAGCTTGTTTGGAGCGAAAACTAGGTCGACTGTTGTGCAAGCATATTTAGGTCTTGGGAGTGGTGTACAACGTTGTCTGAGCAAGACGTCCAGGGCACAGAAGATATGGAGGTACGTCCCCGATGTCTAGAACTTCCAGCACACTTCTCTACCAACCCTCCCTCAACCAGCAATTAACGGTGTCCCAGTCAACCGCACAAGAGCCCTACCGCGACTCCCCGCCCTCCACACGGCCGTCAACCCCATCACCATCCACCAGTACCAAGCCGTTGCCTTCGACACCCCCAGTTCCGCAATCTACCACCTCCTCCATACCAGACAAGCTACAAGCCTACCTCGACAGCCCCTCCGCGCCACAACTGCAACAAGACACCCGACGCTGGGGCGTAGCATATCCATCCCGACGCGGATCACACTCCGCGCGCTGGACCATCACCGCTCTCGCGCCCGCGCAAGACGCGACTCGGGCAGCGTACACCGACGCCGAAGACCCCGCGTTCACGCTCACGCCCACAAACTCAACATCCGAAGGCGACGTGCCACTCGCCTACCTCTACACCTCGCCCTCTACTGGCCAGCCACCAGCGAACGTATACCCCGTCCCCCACGCCGCCGATACCCCACCCTCATATACAGCCGCCGTGCGCGACGCGTTCCGGGTCACGCTGATACAGCACGTCTCCCCCTCGGTCTCTGAGCTCGAGGGCCGGAGGTCGGGTGGAGGTGATGAGGAGGCGCTGTTGGATGGGGACGGGGACGGCGACCGCAGTGAGCGACCGGCTCCAGCAAGCTATGTATGTGGGAAATTGTTTTTGGGTATCTTTTTGACGGTCTTTTGTACGCTCTTTTTGGCTATATTTGCTGGGTGTGTGTTTGGGATGGTCCAGTTTTATCGCGAGATTAGGAGGCATCCGGAGAGGTTTTGGTAGGGATGGGGATGGATCGAGGGGGGAGGGGTGAGATGGGGAGGAGGTGTGGGTGTTGGGTGTTGGATAGGATGGAATGAGACGTATCAAAGGCTGCGCAGCCAGGTATAGACTAGAATTCGGCGTTTCGTGTGAGCATCATGATGGGCTTCGAGGGGTAGAGAGGAGTCTGTTTGGAATTTGTTATACACTCTGATGTCCTACACAGGATATATTGCAGATTTGAAAGGTTCGAGCGGGGATCAACCATAGATGTGACAGGTCCGTGGTGGAATCCGCAGAGCAATGAGCGATCGTGTCGCGGTGGATGCCCTTCTAAGGGGTAGCTGCCACTTGGTTGAAGACGACGTCCAAGAATAGTGGCAATCCGTTCCATTCCGAATGGCGAGGCGAGTATAGCAATTGATGCACTGAGGAACCCACGCTTCAAAGGATTTATTCCTCAGTATCGCGTGGACTGACTGTCGCTGCACCTAGCTCGCCCCGACTACTTCATGGAAGCCTCCCAGTTCTGTCCACCTCAAGTGCGCCGAATAGATCTTCATCGGGCAACGCGTTACGATTCTGGATGCCATTACCTTCGCTCTTAGGACGGAATAGACTCGCCCAAATTTTCAGCACCTCCCCACCAGCCTCGTTCTCAACCTCTCCCTTCATGTGGTTCCGGAAGTCGTCCGAGGAGATGGACGCTACAGACACCAAACCTCTGACTGGTACCAGACCGCTGTGCCTGAACTGATTGTAGACTTTGACGTACTGGAAAACAAGCTGTACCTCGAGGTTCTTAGTCTCCAGAAACTCCATAAAGCTATACATTACTTTCCAGTCAATGGTAAAGCCGTCAATCGCTCGTATCAGCATCACCTTCTTGTCACCAGGGGTCGAGGTCAACCACTTCTTGATAGCTTCCACTGGCTTTTGACAAGATTAGCAACGACATTTATCGGCCAAGGTTTTCAAGCCTTTGGGGCTTACCAGACACTTTTCACCTTTTCGCTTCTGCCACTCCGTGTCCTCCGTTGAACTTCTCTTGAAGCAGATGGAGAAGGTTTCTGTGATCGCGATCCCGTCAGCCTCCGCCAGCCTTGCAGTCAAGGCTTCGCAATCTAGCTCTCTCGCGATCTCTTCAGCGCTCAGCTCTTCTCGAGCCGTCCCCTTGGTCTCTTCAGCTTTACTGACTCTGTCCGAGCTTTGTCTGAGGACACAGATACAACGATCGAATGAGATGAGGACCAACGGCCGCGGCAGCCAATATCGAACGAGGAGCCCCTATTCATCAGCTCATACACCAGTCAGAGGCCAGCAGGCTTCGTCGGCCTTTGCTAAACGCTGTACTGCCCTCTATAGAGTGTTTTACAGCGTTACCGCGAGTCTTATAGAATAAAGTTTGATTGATACCGTGTTTGCTAAGGCTTGTAACATATGCCCCATCCTTCGTCGAGTTCTAAGGGCATTGGGGAGAGCGATGGTTCCCTTACGCGTTTACGTGGATGTTATGACGACAACTGTGAAGGTGGGGACGAAAGCGGCGAAGAACAGTCTGATGGTAGTTTTGAAGCCGTAGGTGTTTCGGATGCATGTACAATGATGTCTGAGTGGGGATGAGCGTCTGAGTGGGGAGGCGCGGCGAGCGGGGATCAGGTGTTGGGTTGATAGGCTGTGGTCTTCCTGTAGACGCAACATATCGCGCAAGGTAATTGCTCTTCAGCGGGCGAGCAGTTTGGGAGCGAGCGGTTGCGAAGGCAGTAGTCACGGAGCTATGGATGTGCTCGGCTTGCTGGTGCTGGCCGATGGTTTTGTTGAGCTGGTACTGGTGCTGGCCTTGATCAATGTACTCGGGGCACCTGTGGTCACCGAGCCGCCGGTCGCGGAGGGAGCGGTACTCGTGCTAGTTGTAGGGGTCTTGGGATGTGGCTGAGGGTTCCCTGCGCGAGCAGACGCAGCGAAAATGGTACTCGTGCCAATTGGTGGGGTCTCGGGATCTGCCTGAGGTTTCCCTGAGGGAGCAGACTCGGCGAAAGCGGTACTTGTGCCAATCGGTGGGGTCTTGGGATCTGGCTCCTTCGACTTGGCGGTCTTGGATGGGCTTGTGGGTGTTTCTGCTTCTTTGGCCCGGCGCAGAAAATCGGCGGCTGGTAGACTGAACCCACGATCTTCGAAAGTGCTGTTGATTAGACCCACAACTGTGCGAGTGTACATATGGCGTGTGTCATGTGTAGTCTGCTCTGCCACTGTACGAGGCTGACCTTGACGAACAGACGAATCTCCAGACATAGTCTTGTCCAGCCTCTCCTTCATGTTGTCTGCATGAAGATGATGGTAGTAGTCCTCAAGCATGTGGCGAATGAAGGCACTAGGGGCACGTTCGATAGCACGACGTACATCGGGCGGCGGCTTGTATCGATTTTTGCGAGCCATAGCAAGGGATTGACCGGACTGGCAGGGCACAGAGGGAGGTAGACGAAGGTAGTAGTCGAGGTAGTAGAGAAGGTGGTAGACGGGGCAGTAGAAGCGACTAATTGTGATGTTAGCAGCCCCAGTACCCAGGTAAGTGTAAAGAAGATGCACCTGTCCTACATGGCGAAAAGGCGCGTCATGGATGCTGTATTTGGCGCCCGTCAACGGCAGGTGCAATTACCGTTACAGCAGGTGAAGCCGTCGAATGCGGATAAGGTTGCCGTCGACGCAGGTACGATTACCGTCAAAGCAGGCGAGATGATGCATTTGCAGCAGGTGGGCTTTGGAGGTGAGGAAATAACCCTGGAGAATGTGGTGGGGGTAAACAGCGGTGGTGGCAGCTGCTGTGACCATGAGGGGCAGACCGATATATCTTATAGACTTGTGACTCTCCCCGTCTTTCGTCTTGAAACTCTTTCGTGTCCTTCCAGTGCAGAGCGGTGGAAGCACCAGCCCTCATTCTCAACACTTCGATATCCAAGCCAACGCCAGTGCAGAGCGGTGGAAGCACCAGCCCTGTATTCTCAGCACTTCCAATATCCAAGTCCTCGTCACTAAGTCGACGGCAGCTTCCAGCGCCCAGTCCATTCGCCCCTCTTCATCGGGTGTCAGAAGTCCCAGTGTTGTAAGTCTCAGTGTGTTGTCCAACACCGCTGAGAAGCCTGATCCTCAGCACCTCGAGTCTCCATGTCCTCATTATGTCGACGGCAGCTTTCAGCGTCTTGTCTTCTCGGCCCTTCGTCATCGGATGTCACAAGTCCCAGCGTCGTGATCAGCATCTTTTCTTGTTGATACGAATAGAGATAGAATGAATTGTATCTCTAGGTCATGAACAAGAAGGCGTGAACAGTGAAGGAATATCCAGAGTTGTGGCGATGCTGCATCTAGGGTGGCACATGTCGTGGGTTGAGGAGCGTAGGGTCGCGGCGACCCTCGAATATGGCCCAGTGTACATAACACAGCCTATATCCGTTTTGCCGCAGTCTTTTTCGTTGTTTCTGCGCTGCGATCGACTTTCCGTGTCGTACTTCTCGCGAACGTGGTGTTTTGGTACCGATATGTCCCTGATTTCAACCAGAAGAAAAAGATACCAAACCGATGCCCACCACGCTTGAACAACGATAAATCGACGCCTTGTAAGGCATAGTCCAAAGCCCTTTTAGCCTGTACCCAATCGTATAATGTGTTGAGTGTGTGTTGCAAAAAAATCTTAACATATCGACCATGTGCCGCCCAAGGTGTATCTCCACCATGACACATCGCCTCGATGTCTAAAGACATGCAAAAGAAAGCCAAACGAAGCCCATGGGGATCGAACCCACAACCTTTGGTGGACAGCGTGGCAAAGGGGAGTTCCCAATGTCTACCGAAAACCAACGCGCTACCATTGCGCCAAGGCTCCTGATGGATGAATTGGGGTTTTTTGTATTGGTGGTAGTAGATATTTGTATATTTTGAACGGAAAGAGAAAAAGAAAGTGCTAGAAGAGATGTAGGGCATCGTTGGAGCGGTGTAGAGGGGCTGTTGGATGGCGAAAAGTGGGCTGGGTGGGGCAGTGTGGCGGTCTGGTTCAGGGGCGGGATTGGACAGACGACATCGGAGCACCCGCATGCTTTATAATCCAACAACAACACTGCTGATCTTGGGTATGGACATAGGCATAATAACTCGTCGATATATCAGGTTCACTTATGATTGAGAGATTATAAGTCCAGCCTGGACTCGTCCACAGTTGCTCACAGGATCAAGACGTGAAACACATAACACGGGCAAGTCTGGGTGCCAAATTGTTGAGCATGCTTAATTGTAACCAGTATCTCAAACAACATCTGCGTCCCATCTCCCCCAGATAGATATATGGTATATCTCACAATGAATTGGCGCAAAGAAGATCAGAAAGACAACCCCGACAACTCTTAGGACGTCTCCGCTTCGCCCTACTCGCGTTGAACCTTCAGGTCTTCCCAGAACCGGCGAGTCTCCTCCCCGTATCTCGAGAAGTCCTTGTCATTTGCGGCACGCAACCTCTGAGCAGGCAATTTCTCCAACATGTCATGCATATGCTTCCACCGTCGCCCCTGCAATTCCGCTGGATACCGGGCAAGCAACCTGCCCTGACCCGTATCGCTGCCGTTCGCCAAAGGACTGTTGTACCACTCCGTCGGCTGAAAAATCGCAGATTCGCTATACTCGCGCAATTCGAGTGCATATTGTAGCGCCTGAGAGGTGATATCGCCGCTCCAATCGCGATCCGGTTCGAGAACCGGCGCTACGACAGCTTTCGCGAGAATTGCGAGCGATACCGAGGACACTCGAATGAAGAATGCGGAGCTCGAGACTGTCACTCCATCCGGCTTCGTGGCAACTATGTCAATCGAGTCAAAACCCCTAGCTTTCGGTGGTAGGAAGTCATGGAGCGGGATGTTGGGATTGAGGAGAATCGTTGATGGGTCCAGGGACCTGTGCAAGCTCGATCAGCGATCACATAACCATGGAACACGAAGCGGTGAAAGTTACATGATCCAGTCGACTCTCCCGCTCTCCGGCTTTTGCAATTCCTCGATGATGAGCTGTTGCAGCCACAAGAGTCTATTCGTGAAGCCCTTTGCTATTGGCACGCGGAGGACATGCATTGCGTAGCCATGGAGCTTGTTGTGTTCGGCATGAGACTGGAGCGCCTTCTCGTATATGTAATTGTGCTGTCCGTACAGAGGGATAGCTTTTGCGATAACTAATGGTTTAGAATGATGTGTGGGATTTGGACTCTCTGGGACGAAGCTGACGGGAGGAGGACGAGCATGGCTCAAGATGGGCGACGACAAGTCAATCCGACAGATCAAAAGAATGGAGATAATGAGAAGGAAAAGAATGAAGAGCCGACATCTGAACGTGAGTAAGCTTCGCAACATTCGGCGCTGTGAGGTCAATGCAAAGCAACAAGTCCACTTGCTACAGTACGCGGTATTGCGGGCAAGCGACCCTAAGGATCGAATCAGATTGCTTCTATCACACGGGAACCGTTCGAGTGTGTTGGTCGTGTAATCTACCATGAAGTTATACAGGTCGTGGCTGCTAGGCGTCATTCAGTGATCTGTGCCTTCCTTGAGGTTGGTGGCCATTTCCGCCATGGACCCAAAGCTCAGGCGCATCCAGACTCTCGGTGTTCTCGTCCACCGGTGCACCTTTACTCTCGGTCGTGCTGTCGCCTCAGTCGTTTGCTGCCTCCGCAATCCAACCGACTCCAGCAATCCTTTCCCTTGTGCCACACCAACCAACACCTCCGCACCACCAGACCCAAGTCGTGTCCTCGGATAGCGTACTCCCGCCATATTTGACGCTCTTGCCAAACACCTCGGCCCACGATGTAGATCTCAAAACGACCAACGAGATCTCCGAAACGCGACGTGTTGCAAAACAATCGGAATGCAACACCGCAATAGGCTGCGCAGGTTTAAAAAGGCAGCGAAGTGGAGAGTTTGTTCATGGGGTTCCGATAATAGATATGATGGTGGTGTCTGAGTGCTATTCTTGTCGCACCGGTGAGATGCGAGCCGGTTGTTGGGGGTGTACAAAAGACCTTCGAGGCCCTCTGTGTCCTACACAATCTCCAGTCGCGTGGACACGCCTTGTCATATACCTCCACCTGCTCATTTCCATCTTTGAATCGCCAGATTAGGGTTAGTAGCGATTATTACCCACACTAATGTCTAGATTAAAGGTCAATATTCCTCACCCACGGATAGGGTTGGACACAACCAGATTTGAGCCTTCATGAGTACCACGGGTCCTCACCAACGACACCCAAAGAACAATGACCCAACACTGAAGCTCTTACGAGCAAAACACTACTCTCTCTCTAGATTAAAGGTCGCGGCATCCAACAGCAAGAAGGTAAGGCGCTTGGCTTCTGAAGCATCTGACTCTAGTGATAGGCAACGACAGCTTCGAAAGCTTATTCAGAGAAGACCACCCGAAACAACCAGATCCCAAACGGTCACATGCGCAGAGCTCCAGCTGTCTTTCAAGGTTCATTTCTTTTCAGTTCTCGTCTCAGCATCCTCTCCCGTTATTGAAACCAAGCACAAGACAAGACATTGTACATTTAACATTTCCTTTTCTCATTTCCTATCTCTCCGAACCAGTCAGGAGCTCACATCCTCGCTGGCACATCCAAGACTAACCCGCCATGTGTAAGACCCAAAAGACGCCAACCAAGGCATGAACATCAGGAATGCAGAAAAAAACATGATCAGAGGAAATCTAACTCTTTCCTGCGAAAAGGGTATACTAATATCTCCTCCGCTACACGATAACCAACCACTGCGCCCAAACTCATGCAAGGCTACGCTATGCAACGGGACAGCCATTACTGGTACACTTCGACCACGCCACGGCAGGGATTCGATCGTTTAGATGTACTAAGCCGTACCGTTCGCCAGCGCTGCGGCCTGGTCAAGTGCCTGCTTCTCTGCTGCGGCGGCGTCAGCATTGACCTGGTTGTCGGCAGCGTTGTTGTCCACGTTCTGCGCGTCCTGGATCTCCTGAGCCCAGATGTTGCCAACAGTGGCAGCCGGGTCCTCGGCAACCTCAGACCAGGTGGGCTTGGCAGCAAGGAGCTGGACGTCGTTGGTCTTAGTGGGGAGGGCAGCAGCAGTGCCATTCGAGAGCCCAGCAGCGCCGATACCGAAGTTGTTGTTGTTGTTCCCGTTGAGGACGTTCTGGGCAATGATGGTCTCGGCAGCGAACACTAAGCAGTATTAGCTTTGTCCAGGTGAGCATGGCTTTTGGGTAACTTACTCATGACGGTCTTAGTTTGACCCCGGCCGCGGTTTGCAACGACAGCGGACTGGGCAAAGACCTGCTCCTGGACGACGTTGCCCTTGCCGTCGTCGACAGCAACCTGAATCTCCTGAACAACGAGCATGACAACGGTTTGGTCACGGTTATCCCGGCGGGCGTTGGTCTTGCGGAAGATGTCGTTTAGGTCGTTGTTGAAGCCGTTCTTCTGCTGGTCAACAATGAGGACCTGCTGGGCTTGCTGCACAATGGCTTGCTGGCGGCCGTTGTCGACGATCTGCAGGCTCTGCTCCTGGATGTTGATCACCTGGTTCTGCTGGTTGACGTTGTTGAAGCCGTTGATGAAATCGAAGGCATTGCCGCCGTTACCACCGAGGCCACCGAGGCCACTCAAGTCCTGGCGTCTGCTCACAGCAGGGCTCCTGCGCTCTACGATTGCTTGAGGAGCATGGACAGGCTTAGCAACTACGTGTTCGAGTCAGTGACGATCCTTTTGTTCATACGACTCCAATGCTCTTACCAGCGAAACCAGTCGCAAGAGCCAACACGGCACAGGTCTTGAAGAAAGACATCTTGATGTGTATGGGAGAGATAGGTGGGGCCCAGTTAATACAAATGAAGGATTATGAAAGTGAGTAAAAGAATTACTGAACGTCACAGACGTAAGGAATGTGTCTTGTTAAAAAGCTAGGCTGTCAAAGCTAAACAATAAAGGACTGTCAAAGCCGGTAGGGAAAGGAAGGTATTAACTGGGCCTTGTTGGAAAGGGAATGTGGTGTGGTAGTGAGTGATGGAGGGAAAAGAGAAGCATGGCATGAAGCGAGGCACTCCAGCTTATATTCAAGGCTCCAAGGGTTCGAGGCGTTCGGTTCCTGACCCAGAGCCTGAGAATGCCACACCCAGACACTCTGCCCTGCCCCCAAACCTGTCATGCTCCTCCGGCCACCGCCCTACCCGTTCCGCCAAGCGCTGCTCTTGTGCCAGCCAAAACGGCCGCCAAGCTACCAGGCTGCGTCTATTCAGGCCAATGTCGAGGCCTCGCGCGGGATCCAATGTGCGGATTCAGCCATGCCGACAGCACGCCAAGACTAAATACACTGGAAGCGGCGCGCGCCTCACCTGTTCGCCGCGGGTCCTGTGCTGCGGGATCCAGACTCGAGAGCAACAAAGGAGCAGCGTGCCAGGGGCCCTGACGGCCTGACGGGGTGCATAATTTGTCACGGCGCGGGTCCCGTTGCGGGGTGCTGCGACCGGGTGCGCCACGGGGCTGGGAGCAGTGCTGGCGGGTGCGGTTGCGATGGGCAGGTCGTGGTGTTGAGGGGTTGCGCGAGACGCGTCTGAAACCCTGCGAGTCTGGACCACGCCAATTCTCCGACCCACAGTGTGCCCAGCCTTCCCCAGAAAACATATAATATATGCGCTATGTCAATGCTGTGATGTTCGGATGCTGTGCTTCCATTGTCGCGTTGGGGGGTGCTCAACGGTTCGTCACACGGCAGCACAGTCGGTCATTGCGTGCTAGCTTCACAAACGTTTCGCAGCGAGTTTTGTTCAATATTCATCCGCATCCTGATTTGAAATTTGGGCGGCAGTGTGCGAGAAGGT